CGATTGCAAACGAATAAATTCACGTTGCAAATAATTATTTGCCAAAACGAGATGCAATTTCATAACAGTGTAAGATAAAGTTGGACAAAAATAGTCCAAATATTCCACCTAGTGTTCCACGAGTTCGGTATTAAATTTCTTTCCAATTCTTAAGGAATATAAATTTTTCTTCGACGAAGGAACTTCCCCGATGTTGTTCTCAGAACAGCACTGCGCACGAAATCGGGCAAAGTTCGTCCATTTTCACATTTCCCCGGGAAAACAACACGCAGAAACGAGCTCGAGCCCTGTCGAAACTGTTCAATGGAGAGGAGCCCGGGTCGCCGAAAACGGCGAACTGATTAAAACTTTTAGCGGGCGTTCGCCGGCCATCTGGTCGCCAGAACCAGATCCTTCGCCGCTGAGAAAAAGGATTCGAAAACGATCGAACGTTAACTTCCGGACGATTTGTCAGAGCCACGAAGGCGGCTCGTTCTCGCACATGCCCCGCGATAAATCCCGGATTTTCATAAGTTTTCATCCCCCCGACGTGCTCGGCCAGGATCGAACCCTGGCATCGATTCCACGAATACAGTGTGTCCAAGTAACCACGGTACACCGAGAAGAGGCGTGAAAATCTAAAACAAGCTTCTGTTTCTACTCGCGTTAAAATCTTTTTGAAAATAAGAGATTGGAATATTTTAGTCCCACGCTTCTGCTTGTTTACATACATCTAAACATTATTATTGACGTGTATCTACGTACTTTGACCAAATAACAGTGTGTTTTATAAGTAGAAATAAGACTAAAGTGTTATGTAACAAAAGATTCATGAATGCTTTGTTAAGAAGTTATGAAAAAAATATGAAACGTGATGTAAATGCTATTGAATATTAAGACACTTTTGGCATCAACGTACTATTGAATTTATTGTTGATCTTTGCAATTAATTCATCTCTTGAACGTATTTCTGTATTGTAAACTTTTTTTTTCAGAGTGCCCCATTTTGGCATTTTGAACACTTTAATTCGTTCATAATGAAACTAAAATTACGTTCGTAGTACAGTGTACGACTTCCCATCATAGAGACTCAACATTTTATTATATTACTTAACATCGACACTACATCTCGTCTTGCACAGTTCACAGTTCATATTTTCGTTATAACTTCTTAACAATTAGTCTTACTTCTACTTGTAAAACACATCGTGGAAATTGCTTTATGAGTTTCCTATGAAGAATATAAAGTCAACTCGTAAAACGCTAACGGAATGGTCAACTTTGAACGTGTATCGCGATCATTTGGTTTTATAAATTGTCCTTTAATAAATCGAGATCGAAAAATTCCGCGACGGTGGCCAAAAATTACTTTCGTCCAGCAGTGGGCGAAGAAGGAGGAGAAAGAAAGAGCGAGATTTATCGAAGCCGCGGCTTGTTACCGGGGCTTTACGCTTCTGGCGAGTGGGGGGCGTGGGCGCCTCGAGAGCCACGATAAAGGTGCTAGCAATTGATTAAGAGGGTCGTTTGTGCCAAGGAAATGCTACTTCAAACGCGACCCCGAACCGAGCCGCTTTTCAGGCCTCTTCTATCCCGTCGCTTTGATTCTTTTGTGCCCCGTCTGGCGTCAAAACTTTCGCGATAATCTGCTCGCTGGGGAGCGGTTCAACGCTCACAGGAGTGGGAATCGTCCAGGTATGGATTTAGCATTTCATACCGGTAATCTGGGATGTTTGTGAGATGCTTTACGGCTCCGACGATCCCCCCCTCTCCCCCTTTTTACGCTCCGATGGTCCACAGGTCGAACGCTACCTGTTTGAGCGCCAACCGCCAGAGGAAACCATCGTACGAATTTTTCTGAATAATTGAATAACTTCTCGCGTTACCGCTGTGCAAGCACCGACGAACGTCGATTATTCGAATATTCTCCTTTCTTCCTGCCTCTGGCGCGAGCTTCGCAATTTCTGCACGATAGTTACGAGCGTCGCGTAAAAAGATTATTGCTTCCCGTGTCGTCTTATTTAGTATTATAAATGGCGCAAGAAATGGTAAATAGTGAATACAAGTGTCTCGATTTAAAAATAAGAACTACTATTTCAGTCGAAGACAATTATTTAAACGAATGTATACTTTGTGAAAATGTTTCAGATGTAAGACTACTCACTTAATTTATAATTGAACTGTAAGTCTCAGTATCAATTTTATTTTGTTACAGAAGTATTTTTGTATTATATATCGTTTATCTACAAGCACTGATTTCTACCTCAACAAACAAAAATGTATAATATAATAAATAATCGACGAATTTCACCATAGAGTGATTTGTTTACAATACTTAGAAATTTAACAACGTATTGAATTTTTGCACCGATCGAAAGATGATCGTCGACTAGGAGAAACTTCCCTCGAATAAACGAATCACGAATTCCGCCCGGAGAGACGCTCGAAAAACGAGGAAACTTTTATTTTCCCGCGCTTAAAACGATTTATCGAGATCAACATCCACCAGCCAACGAAAGTAGACGTTTAACTTCGATGGAAATGCACGAAACCGAAGCAATCTGGAAGTTCCGAGAAACCGATACGATAGATGCTACGCCTCTATTTCTTTCCGGAGTTAATCGTTAATGCAATCGATTCTGGACAGAAGGGTCGAACGAGGATGGTCGATTGGATCGTTACCGGAAAAGCACAGTTCATGTTTTCAAATCGTTCCGCTTTTTTAATGTATTTTTTTCGCAAGATTTCGCAAATAATCGTAAGCATTTCAATTTTACGAATTCGAAGGACACTGCACCACGAAATAGCACGTTACGAAATTTTCTAATTAAATTTTTGGCCCTAGAAATGGCATCGTTGAACGATACATTTTTAATAATTTTAAATAATTGAAGAATTAAGTTGCTCGTTTGACTAGAACCTTTTGCCTAGAAAATATGAAAGTTCATTTATTTGAAATTTAATAAGAATTTTCTGTAAGTTTTCGTAAATAATTGAAGGTTTTAAGAGTTTAATTCCTGGTTTAACGTAACGCAGGGTAAATAAAATTCTGTGGGTAACTGGATCCAGGATCTTCACGGGGGCTTAACGCAATCTTCGATTCCGCACACTCCTGAGCTCCGCGACAACGTTAATTTACGCCCCATTTCCATCGTCGCCGATAAAACGAAATAAATGGCCGGCTTATCAGCGAAAAATACTTCCTGTAAAAGTATCCGCGATAATGCAGAGCAGGGATCAGCGTATTTCAGTAAAATAATTCTGTATTAGGCCACGCATGCGGCGGCTAATCTAGCCGTAGCCACGCGCGCGGACTTCGAAAACGAGGAAATTAATTGCGATCCCAAAAATACGAGGGGACGATCCCCATTATAATAAATTCAGGGTTAAGTTTCGCGGAGGCTGTGACCCCGATAAAATTTATGCCCCGTATAAGCCAATTATTTATCGTCCCGGCGGTTTCGTGACTTCGGATTCGTCGACCGCGAAACTCTTTTTTAATTTGATTGCGCGGGGTCTGGTCGAAAACCCCTCCAATTACGAACGGGACTTTCCAAATAATAATAATAATTTAGGAAAGGTTATGTATCAACGAACCGAAACGAACTGTTCCTCAAAAGTGAAATATGCAACGAAATATTGTTACCACGAAGCATGAATTTTGTAATTTTTTGTTCTTAATAATCTCGACGAATAAATTTGCCTGCGCGAGTCTGGCCGAAAACCCCTCCAATTACGATCGAGATTTTCCAAATAATGATAATAATTTAGGAAAGGTTATATATCAACGAACCGAAACGAGCTGTTCCTTGAAAGTGAAATACGTAACGAAATGTTATCGCCGCGAAGCACGAAGTTTCTAATTCTTTGTTCTTGATAATCTCGACGAATAAAGGAATTTCGTAAGACAAAGTGTTTATTTCAGAAACACAGAGGCAGAGTTTCGGCTGAGAGTGACAGCCCTGTTCGAGCAAAAGAATTAATTAAAATCCAAAACAATGCGGTAAGTGGAGTCGTTAATTTTGCGGAGCGGGAGCATTTTTTGCGATGGTTAAATGTTGTTAGTATTATAATACGCGCGCGAAAAAATACAAAAAGGAGATCCAATTTGTGGACCAGTAGGTTCGAAACGTCGAAATTTAAAATGCGGTGTTTATAATCGACAAAATAATGAAGAAAAGTATTTTATTAAATAATTAAATTTGCTATTATTATTCAAAGTGACATTTTAGTTTTATTTCTCGCGGGGAATAATTTCTGTGAAGTTCGAAAGAAACTGAATCGAAAATTGATATTCGATTTTTGCGCGTCTCAGGCAGCAGATTATTAGGATTGCTATGGTTAATGTATTTCCGCTATGGAATTTGTGGAAAGCCATACTAAAATGTACGAGAATTTCAAACAGCATACTAATTTCGCCGGTAAAAGCTCTATACTCCATAGTTGGAGGACTTAAGTGGATTTACTGCTTGTTGAAACAAGTTCTTCATGCACAGTATCAAAATTTGTATGGTAGCCGCGTTACGTTCGTTGCAAAATTTCGTTCAATATTATTGCAAACCAATTTATCATTCTCGTGGACACGAGATTCGATTGAACCTACATTACTTGCGAAACACCTGGCTAAAAATAATTATACATAACTATAAGTACTGATTGATCCAAATACGCACAGCAAAAGAAACGAGGTTTCTTCAGAGATAAAGTAATCATTTTCACCCGTCATTTTCGAGAATCTCAACAATCGAAACAAAAAGATGCTCTCGAGTGATATACAATATTTAAAAATTGGCTTTTCACGTCAGCAATATTTGATCATCGAATCCACTCTGGTATAATTCGCGATTTAATTCGCGGAGAGGAGGCTCTCGTGCAAGAACTTTCGATGTTAACGGCAGTAATCGAAATCGTCTCGAGCAACTGGACCGAGCAGAGATTCGGCCATTCGGGGCGTTCAATTTCATTCCGCGGTCGAGCCACGGCCCGCCAAAGTAAAGACGAAGTAACACCTTTGTAGGACTTACCTGTGCCAGCCGCCCCTAGCCTCAGAACTGCATCGCCTTGAAGGGAGATGGAGAGGGTGGCGGTATCCTCGAGGCGTGCAAGAACTTCTTCGGGAATGTCCTCGGGTTCGCGGAGGCGGAGGGTGACTTCACCTCCGCCTCCGCCACCCTGACCACCCCCACCCCCGGGACTCGTCGACGCCGAGTACATGAACACAGATCCGTACCCATGTAATGACTGCAGCGGCAGCCTGACGCCGCCCACTTCCCCGACCGGACCCTGAAAAACAACCAAAATCCATTCAAAATCAGTCCTCGATTTTTAAAAACTAAAACATATATTATTCGAACTTTAAGGGTCAATTTTGACCCGCGAGAGACATCGAGATTTGAGGTTTAAAAACTCGGAGATATTACTCTCATTTGTCTATCGTGTTTCCATTATTATATACGATTACATGCAAGTGCGTTACTCGAGCTTTAAGGGTCAGTTTTGGCCCATGAAGGACATAGAGAAGCTCGGAGAAATTACTGTCATTTGTTTCGTCACATTTTTAGAGCCACTTAAAGAGCGAATTAAGGTAATTTTAGAAATCCTTAAGTACTTCGAGCAACGATTGGAACGATGTTTCAAGAGCCACAGGAAGACCGTTCTTCTCTAGAGGGATAATTTATTTAACAATTCCCCCATTCTAATTATACCGAACCTATGCATAATACTAGCAACTGGAACTGTCAGTTTCCTGTGTAAACGTCACGTGTCAGTATCTGCGGGTTTAGTGTCCGAGCAATTTGGATGTTCGTGGTGCGTTAGTTTAAGGAGGTCAAGCTATCCTGGAACCGCTATGTCGTCACAGGTATCGAACTTTGTTTTGAAATATAGAAACGAAATAAACTCTGAAACTAGATTCACGCATGGCTGTGGATTTTCACGCTACTTTAACGCGATACGGAAAACTCGCGTTTCCTTTTCGGCTCGATTTACAACTGGGTTTGGGAAACAGAGACGTTCGAGGATACCGTCCCGACCCATGAAACGTGTAATATAAAATTTTAAGAGGTCAGTTTTCTCTCGACGGGTCGCCATATTCCCCGGAGGGGTACGTCGTCCCTTTTCGTCACGCGACTCGTTGGGTTTTCATTTCTTGCTGCGCGTTGCGTATCGCCGTCGAACGATCCTTTACGAGCAGAAATTTTTTGCCAATTTCACCGTCCATGCAAATTTCAATTCGCGAACGTCAATATTTGCTGAATCGCGTCGAAAAAGGATTTCGATGTACCGGTACTCGATTCACCGTCAAACGCTCTGCCCCTTCCTAAAAACGGTATTACCCAGCGTTAAAATAAAGGGCCGACGTGCTCTTCGTCGAGGAAAGCGGAAGAAAGGGCAATATACGCTGCTACGACGATAACTTCGACAAATTTGATCATTTGTTTATTTATTTGTAAACCAGGAACCGCAAACTACAAACCGTGATTCGTCAAAAATTCATACGAGATATATAACTAATTATTATTTAAAAAAAAATAAAATTATTAGTTTGTGCATTGGCTATTTGGCTAAAATTTTAAAAATTCGATACTTATTGGTTTTCAAAGAGATCCTTCATATTAATTCTAAGTTATTATATTAAGGAGTTATTCCTCGAAATTGCATGCAATGTTAAAGAAAATAAATTAGTAGCAGGTTTTTCCTGAATTTTTCGCACAGCTATTTGAAACTTGTAACACGAAATAGATATTGACGAATAAAATTGCTATTTGAACGAAAAACACTGTTAAAAATACAATATTAGATAGTTCTATCTAATAACAAACATGCTAATGAATTACAAACATGGTGTGAATTACCACTATTATTGGAGAAATTATTTCTCATGTATTAGAAATGATTAACTCGACCGACAAATAGGAAATTTAATACACTGATGCACGTATTGCTATACCCGATGAAGGTGCCTCGCCTGACCATAATTTTCGATTATGAATTAATTAGTAATTTTGATGTATACAAACATCAATTGTCAAAATTATATCAGTATCCAACAGGTATTCATGCAACTTTCACAGTCTAGAATGGTGATAGTTGGAATACCTAAAAACATTCAATTATTAATTTGATGCAACGATATATCATTCTTGTTATATAAATATTATAGATGTTCAGATTAAACACAAAACATAACAATTATTTAAACCATCAGTGTTGTAAACTGTGTGTTTGAAAAATTCAATTACACTATTTTAAATAATGGTATATTTATTTTCCATGCTTGTTAATCTTAACACTAAATCTACCACGACCGGTTAAATAACTGTTTTCAAAATTTCTTTTAGAATTTCTAACATAAATAGATAAATAATAAATAGGAAATATACTATAGCAAAGGTGAAAGGAGAGAATCTTCTGTTTCCACTGTCTCATAATGCGTATTAAAAATAGACAAACTTTACATGAGTGCAATTCTGAAACTACTACACTTTCCCCCATAATTGGACCGCTGTAAGGAGCGTAAAGGCCTAACCTTTAAAATGGCTTTTGGTTTTTGACGATCGGACTTTCCGTTTTCGAGATATCGTAATTTATGTAAAGAGGTATTTTTTACATTCCACTATCCACACTCTCGCTGCCTTAGAAACGTGCGAAAAATACTGAAACTTTGGATGCGTGCAGTTCCGAAACTACTAGTGTTTTATTAATAATTAAACCACTGTTGGCAGCGGTGAAGCTTCCTCTTTAAAATGGCTTTTGGTTTTTGTCGATCGGACTTTCCGTTTCGGAGATATCGTAATTTATGTAAAAGATAATTTTTCTTAATTCGACTATCTCTGTCTCCGTCTGACGCGTCGCGCCGGACCTCTCTTTCTCGCACGTGACTCGTGACCTACTTTCTCCGAGTCACGTGCCGGTCAACGGCCTTGACAAGGATGTAAACAAACACTTCGGACCTTTATATTTCCGGAACTAGCTACCGCATCGACTTGAAATTAAAATCGTTATATCTCCGGAACTAATAAAGCTATCGACTCGTACAAACGCTCATTTTAAAGGGCATTCTATCCCCTACCCAATGACTATACCAGCTACTATAATTTTCACTGTCTTCTATGTTTATTTTGCAATTTTCTTTGACTCTATGCACCCAAAGAAATTTCAGCGATAAAACTGGATAGTAAATTGTTTATTTAATTAAAAATAAATTTAAATTTGTACACAAGATGCGTAATTACTAGCCAGCATAAATAATGGATTTCTCCGGACCTAATTACAATTACAAATTATTCCAATGTATTTATCATTCCCAATATTCCTCGACAATGTTTCAGCTGTCGCGTACGGTTGAGAATGTATAAAGTGGACCGAATTCGACGACGTTCCCCTATTTAATAACGGAGGACCGTGTCCGCGATAAGGAAGCCGTAAATAAAAAACCGTCAAACGAAAGGGTGCCGTGTAAAATGCAAGCAGCAGTCGTAAAACATACGCGAGCGGTAAAAGTGGCCCGTAAAAAGGTCTGGTAAGAGGTCGCTAGCTCGCGAGACACGTCGGCGTGTTTATCGGTCCTCTTTCAGGCGCCCTGGGAGCACCGTGGATTTATCTGAGCGGGATTTTCGCCCTTGACCGAGCTCGTGGCCGCTTGTATCGGGACCCACATCGATGTCCCACGACGTGCTACCGAGTTGCCAGAGACTCTACGGAAATCCATTACCGGTAATCGCCTGGTCTGTCTAAAGGAAGCACGGGACTTCCGAGTTCCCCGAGTGAAAGTCAAATTGGAAACTTACTTTCCCCGGCACACGCGAGTTCGATTTAACTTTGGACGAGCCGGACTTGCGACGCTAACATAATGTACAACGTGAACGCGAAGACCGGGACCTTCTCTAACCTTTAACCCTAATCTCCAGCATGTTGCACCGTTTTTATTCCGTACACGTTAAAATAAACAGTCGTCAAGCATCGTACGATGTATTCACAATTGTTTATTATATTACTGTCGAACCTTCTTTCCCTTATAGTGAAAATTTAATTAATATGTATGAGAAATGATCAATCTTCCAACGAGTAAACCATATCATTTTCGGAATACATGGGGCATTATAAATTCTCTATAATTAAACATTCTTTCTTGGAGCAACCGTTATTTGTTGACTACCCTTAGGTGTTCTATCAGCCTGCGTTAGTATAAATTAATTATTTCTCGGTTGCACGTTTATGCTCGAAAGAGAATTCAGAATAGCCAGGAACATGTTCACTTAGCACACACGGGGAAAGCATAATGAGAATAAATGCAGTAAAATCTTAATTTAGGGAATTAATTGAGGTTAGGGTGCACTCGTGAAATCCAAATGTTTGTAAAATAATGTCTAAAATATATCTTTCAATGCCTTTCATTCACCTTTTTAGAAGTACCATTCAGTCGGTTATCTTTCATGTTTATTTCAATGTTTGTAACATAAAGAATGTTTTTAAGTGATGTTCATGAGAAAGATCCATCTTCTCCTCCATAAATTGCGTTTTCATGACATGAACCACTATTAATCATCGGTTCGCGTGATACGAAATCTTGGCTTACTACGAAATAATGTTTTTCAAAATTGTTGATTCTTAAATTCGAATCAAGAAGGCATAGTCTTTAAAAAATTATTGAATTTTAAAACAACGCTGGGAAGAACAACTCAAAACTAATTGTCACCATTTCTATATGTCGTAGACAAAAATACTCGTCGAACCATAGAAACACCGACGAAGTAAAAAATTCCGTTCTTCCGGATCGTCCGGGTAAAATAACCGAGAGGAAGTCGAAAATAACCGCAAGATCCAGCATTTTCAGGGCATCGATCAGCAGTCTTCGATTCGGTATCTCCAACAAACCAGCCAACGACCTCCGATTATTTACGACGCTCGAAATTCAAGTAACAGTCGAACGTTTCCGTTCCACGGAATGTACCGGAGATGGTTTCCCGCGTTGTCAGCGCGATAAGACAGCTTTACGAGCGTGTTGACGGGAGTTTGAAAAGTGCACGAGCCACCAAGTATCATGAAATACGGAACCACGACGCATGGCTGACAAGGAGATGCCAGGCCCGTCTCTTCCCAGAACAAACAACCGGAAATGTGGCCATAACAATGCGGATACGCAGCCAGCGCGCCTCTGTGTACCCGTTTCCGATGCACAGGACCATCGATATAGCGAGGGCACACTGCCGCAACACAGATTTCCTGAGCTCTAACGTAAATACGGGACAGGGTTCCACGTTTCGTCTCCCCCCACAAAATCG